AAATTTTTTTATTTTATATGTAGTTTTTGTTGAGAATTTTCATTTAAATCAAATATATAAAATCATTAACTCAATTTACATAAAAGTTAAAGGAGTAGGATAATTAAAAAATACTGGAGGGAAGCACTGCAAAATCAGCAGCGCATTTGCTTAGGCATGGCATGTGTGTGTATGAATTGTTCTTACTTCCTACTATATTTGTTCCCCATGTCCCCATTGTTGAAAAAACAGAATTCAAAACATCATTAATATAGGTAGTTGGGGGTTGAAGAAAAAAAAAAAAAACCTCATTAATATGGGCATTTCTCTACTCTTTTATTTACTTCTTCCTCACTGACTGGTGCAGGCGCTCATCGAAAAACCCTTCACACTTTTTTTTGGCTTTCTTGCTTCCTGGATTTTAGCCTTTTCTGCACCTTCCAAGTTCCATGGATTGGAGGCAGAAGCTTGTGCTCACAGCTTTTGTCATTGCTGTAGCAGCCATAGATTGGGCAGAGGCAGAGACCATGGTCACTGGCACCGTCTTCTGTGATCAATGCAAGGATGGTCAAATATCCCTCTTTGATTATCCTCTTAATGGTAAGATCTCTTCCACAATCCTCAGCTACATTTTTTTTTAATGGATCCTCACCTATGTTGTTGATTTGTTCTTTTCATATCTCATTTCCTGTCTTTTACAATGCTTCCCCATTAACCTCTAGTGCTGGAAGAGATGATCCAATGGTAAGAGTACGAAACTTCTAACCAAACAAAGAGAACAAAGAATCCTAATCCATTAAATTGAAAAAAAAAAAAAAAAGATTTTTGGAAACTTAAATTTTAACAAATTTATATCCAATAATGATAAATGAAACCAAAATTTGAAGTTAATAAAATGATATACATCACATCATTTATAATAAAAGATTAAAAGGTAGTATTTATTCTATTTAATAATTGACACTTTTCATTTTGTTAGGACCAAGATAATAAATACATTAACTTATTTAATAATATGATTTAAAATACATCATTAGTGTTAAATTTTTGTCCCTCATTCTTGTCCTATATCCCTACTCATTTATGACCTTCCTTCTTGTAGGAATTAAGGTCTTGATTAGCTGTGCTGATAGTAGTGGGCAAATCTCAATGTCAAGAGAAGAAACCACAAATTTGTTTGGGAACTATGTCATGAGGTTTGATGGCACACCAGACTTGAGCAACTGCAATGCCCAGGTTTCAGGCACCGGACAAGGGTCTAGCAGGTGCAGCGCGGCAGGCGGCCCTGCGCAAAAACTCAGACTGATGTTTAGAATGTTTGATATAGAGATGTATGCTGTGGATTCTTTGCTTTCTGAGCCTGCTGAGCCTATGTCATTCTGCCCAAAGTCAAGGAATCCTGTGCCTGCACCAGCAAGACCCACCAGACCTGCTGCCCCGATAGCACCGAGAGGATCTCCTCCGTCCTTCAGGTTTCCACCATTGCCACCATTGCCACCTTTGCCACCCTTGCCCTCATTGCCCCCATTGCCTCCATTCCCGCCGGTACCATTCCTGCAAGAAGAATCAGCGTGTCCACATCAGTAAGCTAATCATTTTGACCATTTAACTATTGCCCAATTGAAGAACACCTATATTTAAGTTTCATATTCATTACTCTTAAGAAATCTGTGTCTGAAACTTAAATCTCTTTCAGGAACTGGACAATGCCACAGTACAGATGCTACTGGAGAGCCCTGAATCCAGACTCAAAGGTTGCAGTTGTTTTTGGTCCCATAGCAGCCGCAAGATATGGCAACGATATGACTCTGTGGGGAAGTCTACAAGGGAGAGGAGACCCCTACAAAACCCTCCTTAGGGAAGCCACAACTTCACTTCTCAACTCCTACAATAGTCTTGAATTCCCTTACCATACAATTGGAGTCATCACACACACGAATTTAGCATTGAGAGGCTCCACTCGCAACGTCCTTGTTACTGCATTGAGGTTCATGAGGGCTAATTCTGGGTTTGGCAGAGTCCCCTGCAAATTAACCCCATGCAAATGATCTCCTCATGCCAATCCTAGATTAATTATAATTTATTATCTATTGCTACTATAATTACCAAAAAGAAAGATTGTTTTCTATGAATCTATGTATTTTATGATATTTTGTATTATCTCTTCTTATGTTTTATGTTCGAAGTAGGCCAGCGTAGGTTTGCCGAACAAAATTTTCACTAATAATATTGTTAATCATAAGAGGGTCATGATTCGGAGATAGTGATGTTTTTCTCTTGACCTTTTTCAAAATAAACTGCTTGAGCTGTTTCCCTTTCCCCGACGGAACAATAGAAAACAGTTCCACAATTCGTCCATGTGACCTGTTAAAGAGTTAACAGTCCTTTCCCGGTTAGGTGACCACTACTGTTATTAAAAACTATAAAATATTATTTAAAAAAATTAATTTTATTTAATTTAATTAATAAAAGTGACTAATAATTATAATTATTAATTATAACTATCAATTAATAATAAATAAAATAATTAATATTTATTAATTAACACATTAAAATCACACAATAAATTAATATTTAAAAAATTAAAAAATTAGTGACCTTTAACATTATAATTGATGGTAATAACTACACCATTAATTCTCATTCTCAAATTCAAGATCTAAGCTTAGAATCTCTAATTTCAATTTCATTTTACAACAAATGAACTCTTAAAATCTCAAATTTTAAAGGTCTAACCTATAATTGTTCTGCCGACCAATTGTTTCATTTTTTTTTTTGAACAAACTACAAATTAAGAGTAAGAAGAACGAATCCAACTCAAAGTATTAGGGATGCACCTATTATGGTGACAAAACCACTGTATGGAGAAAGCCAACTGCCGAAATGACCAATTGTTTAGCTAATAGAATCCACAATGTTGGCATGGAAAAAACCAGAAACATTTTGATTATCATCAAGATAAAGGAAACATTTACTAACAAATTAGGAGTTCACTTTAATATATACACCAACTTTAGCTCCAAAAAATAGTTTTCATAAAATGTCACGCAAATGCAAAGTTGACTATCATTAAATTTGTTAGAATTTGCGCCATCGATATTAATAACAAAGGTACAATTATAAGCTATTTCTTGACCTTTTGGTCGAGTGGAAGGAGCTTGTTTCCTTAAGCAACATCGAGTTCGAGTACTGTGAATGTAAAAATAGGTGTTGGGACAGCTTCTCCACATGAGGTCTGACCCGGCTCGATTCTAGATTAGTCAGGTAAAATGTGGTTTCTGAATAGCAGAAGGTTAGTAAAAAAAAAAAAAAAAAAGCTATTTCTTTTACCTGTTCAAAGAGTGGGGACGGCAAATGGCGAGTGCACGTTTGACTTCGATCCTCTTTCCACCGCCGATTCGTCTCTTGATCACCACCATCTTCATATCATGCCTCGCGATCGACGCTCAGGACTTCACCTTCCAAGAAGCGACCATCGATGACATCCAGAGGGCCTTCGCCGATAACCGGCTAACGTCAGTCCAACTCGTGGACTTTTACTTGCGCCGGATCGAGACTTTGAATCCGATGCTGCGCGGCGTGCTGGAAATCAATCCTGACGCGCGGGAACGAGCGGTGGAAGCTGATCGGGAGAGGAGTGATCTGAGCCGCTTACCGTTGGGGCCGCTGCACGGTGTTCCGGTACTGTTGAAGGACACCATTGCGACGAAAGATAAGATGAATACGACGGCGGGATCGCACGCTCTGTTGGGATCGGTGGTGCCTCGGGACGCTGGCGTGGTGGAGAAGCTGAGGAGCGCCGGGGCTGTGATATTGGGGAAAGCTAGTCTCACTGAGTGGTACTCTTTTCGGGCCCTAGGAAAAATTCCTAATGGCTGGTGCGCAAGAGGTGGACAAGGACAGGTCATTTCTCAAATGCATTTAGCTAAATATATATATATATATTTATATTATTGCAGTATTACTATCTCATTAAAAAGGAGTACGCTGATTTACAATCTGATAAAGTGAAAACAGTATTTCCATAAAAAAATTGGTGGCCCTACTTTATTCTTATTTTGCATCTTTGGGGTAATTTTTTTTTTTTTAATTTTCTTAATATATTTGGTAATTTTAGGTAGAATAACAATTGAACTTTTTCTTATACATAATTCTTATTGGTAGTTTTCTGAGTCATGTTCAGAGGAACAACAATTATTATGTTGGAAAAATACATTGGGCTTCATTGGTTATGAGGATATTAGGATATCTAAATTGAATGTTGAGAGCCTAATAACCTGGAATGTTTTAGCCCTACAAGGTGTATGATGTCTTTTCCTTAAGAAATGTTGGGTCCAATTTGGTAGGACCTGATTTCTTTATGTACCACTAATTATACAGGAAATGCTACCACCCACCGCTAGCAAAGGTTTATAGTGCTATCTAACCAATCAAACCATTGTATGTTGTAATTTGACCACATGCAGAATCCTTATGTGCCATCAGGAGAAACCTGTGGGTCAAGCAGTGGATCAGCTATTTCAGTAGCTGCAAACATGGTGGCAGTGTCACTGGGGTCTGAAACTCATGGTTCTATCCTCTGTCCATCTGATCATAACTCTGTAGTAGGATTCAAGCCAACTATTGGACTAACCAGCCGAGCTGGTGTTATTCCAATTCTCCCTCAGCTCGACACAGTTGGGTAGGATCGTATGCCTTATTATAATTCCTAATGTGATCTTTGTTTTAGACAAGAAGACACAATCATTCATCTTAAATTGTGGACTGATATAATGAATTTTCATTGCGATGAACTTTCAGGCCAATTGCAAGAACAGTGTCTGATGCAGTATACTTACTGGAAGCAATTGTGGGATATGACCCGAGAGACGATGAAGCTACGTCAGAAGCGGCTAAATACATCCCTGAGGGAGGTTATAAGCAGTTTCTCAACCAAGATGGGGTCAAAGGAAAGAGATTAGGGGTCATCAGACAGCCCTCTACAAATAAATCCATTTTCATTTCAGCTTTTGAGAGTCATCTTAACACACTCAGGTATTGTTCTAAGCAAAATTTTCACATTCTAATTTCCAGTGTTAATATTTATTCATTCAATCTTGAAAACTGTAGAGAAAGGGGAGCAATGATAGTGGATGATCTAGAAATACCAAACATGAATATTATCTCAAATCCTGGCAAAAGTGGTGAACTAACAACAATGCTGGCCGGGTTCAAGATCTCTGTAAATGAATACCTGAAAGAGCTTGTTGCTTCTCCAGTGAGGTCACTTGCAGATGTTATTGCTTTCAATGAAAATAATCCCGAGCAGGTTTGTTTATGTTTTCTCCGTATTTGATGCTATATTGTAAGGAATTGATAAGGCAAAAAAATTGCCTTCTTTTTTTATTTTTTTGGCAAGTTTTTGATGTCCTTTACAATGCAGGAGAAGACTAAAGAGTATGGTCAGCACACTTTCATTGCATCAGAAAATACTAATGGTATGGGACAGAAGGAAAGGCAGGCAATAGAGTTGATGAAGAAATTGTCAAGAGATGGAATTGAGAAAACAATGGAAGAAAATAAATTGGATGCCATAGTGACGCCCGGTACATATTGCATCTCTATGCTTGCACTTGGAGGTTATCCAGGCATCACTGTTCCAGCCGGTTATGACAGCAACGGAATGCCATTTGGGATCTGTTTTGGAGGGTTGAAGGGTACAGAACCAAAGCTAATTGAGATTGCTTATGCTTTTGAACAAGCTACATTGGTAAGGAGACCTCCTTTCTCCAGATCACTTGAAATGAACACGGAATTTTACTTTGCAAGTGCATAAATGATGCCAACTGTACCAACTTGTAACAAGGCTGTAAACTTGTTGAAGCAAAATAATAGAAGGGAAGAATGCTATAGATTCAAAAGCAGTATTAGAACAATCTTCCGGCGAAACCCGGCATGGATTTTGTCATTCCGTACTTTGTATTTAGAATATTTGATGTTTGAATGGTATATACTAAATGAGGAGTTGACACTCTCAACCGGATAGGCTGCACGTTGAAATCCCAGTTGTATTTAGTCATTCAAATAATTCAATACAGAACTGTATTTTACAAACAGTTAAAAACTCCCACGTAGCTTTCAATTGCATTGACATTCGTGTTAGAGTTGTGGTGTTCAAGCTGCAAAAGTAGCAGCAAATGAAAATGAAAGGCTGCACAAAATGGCAGCAAAATGAAGGGAGAGCTGCACCAATAGCACGGTCGCAGCAAAGTGCAGCAAGCTAAAGCTGCAAATGTTGTGGAAATGAGGCTGAAATGAGGCTGAAATGAACAGCAGATGAAATGCAAATGCAAATGCAAATGAAAGGCTGCAAATAGCAGCACAGTACAACAACATGGAGCTGCACGAAATGGCAGTAAATCTTTGAATGTAATCTTTTGTTTTAAATGCTTTTGTATGGGTTAAAATATTAGGTGAGAAAATTATTTTTTATTATGTTGTTTTTGCTATAAATATAACAAAATATCAATGATATTTCTGAGTTGGAGTCATATACTCCTCTCCATTTCAGCTTATGCTCTGTTTTTCATCTTCCTCTCGGTTCTCTCCATTTCTTTGCTTTAAAAAATCCAACAATTCGCACAGCAAGTTGTCTCGGTTAAAGTCTTGCGCTGCAACTTGGTGAAAGTCTTGGACTCTGTTTGGCGTAACTGGGGTACTGGATAAAAGTTCTATTTGAGAAATCTATTATAGAAGTTTTGTTTTTAAGAAATTAAAGTTATTTGATAAAATTTTTTATATAAGTATTTTTAAGAGTAAAATTATTCGATAAATTTTTTTATAACATATTTTTTATTTTTATGTGATGTTAAAATGACTTAAAAAGATATCTTTTTAAAAAAAAATAAAGAAAAAAAAGGTAATATCCTTATTTTTTATTTTTCATTTTTATTGAACTTCAATTCTTTATGAGTAATTTATTTTAAAGTTGATGACAAAAAATGGATTCTTCATATTTATAAAGTAAAACATAAATATTAAGTAATTAATAATTTTGATAAATAAATATTTATATCTTAATATTAAAAAAACGAAACATGTTACAAAAACAATAGAATAAAATTAAAAATAATACAAGTAATCTTCTTGACTAATTTTCCATTCAAGATATTGCTAATGAAATGTTGAAGTGTTATCATAATCCTCCATTTTACAAGCAAAATTGCATTGAAAAACTCTTCCATTCTTGTTTCTCCTCCCCAAGCAAAATTAAACTCCCTGATTGCAACAAAATCCCCTGTTAAGGAATCAAATGATTTTATAGAAACACATGTGAAAAATCAAAGAGAGGAACAAACCTCGAATTTATATTTTCTATCCAGAGAAACATGGCAATGGTCTTGCCAAATCCCAATCAATAGACAGCAAAATAAAGAATGGAGAATCAGCTAAATGAATCCATACATTTTAGGAACATTCCTTGTGGTTTGGCCATCTCATTCATGGCATAATGTAATGATCTGTAGGTAATAAATATTGAAACTGGTGCCATTCAAAACACATTTCAAATACCATTGCAATGGCATACCTATAACTATCAAATTATGATTAATTGAACTCTTTGATTGTTTATTTAAGATTTTTTTTTATTAAAGTACATATGGTCTTTACTATGACATACAAATAACTCTTGTTTTTTCAAGAGATGTAGAAACAAAATTGTGATATTCAAATAATTGCACAAAATATTAAATAGAAATCTGCACAAAAGAAGTTGATAACAAAGAAACAGGAAAAATTAAATAGAATGAAATTTGCAAGAATTGAAATTTACCAATAAAGACACTCAAACAAACCATTACCACAAACACAACACCAAAATCCATTATCACAAAACAGTCTAAATCCAAAAACTTAATTTGAAATCCATTTGAAAAAAAAAAAAAAAACTTCAAAATCTAAGTAACACAAACATTTTTTTCACCCTTTTTATTTAATGTCATTTTCTACTATTTTGACTTCAAGCTTGCTCTTAAATCCGAGATAAAACCAATTGCACCAAACACACGTTTAATCTGCAACCTTTGACTTATACATCCCAGAAGATCAGTTCGCTTCATTGCAGCATCGCCATGGCTAATAATATTTCTCCAGGGAGCTTTTCTCTGTTTTCGTTACTGCTTATGATTGTTCTGTCCATATCATCATCTGGGTCTCGCGTTCATGCTTTCTCAATAGAAGAAGCAACCATAAAAGATATCCAACACGCTTTCAAACATAGCCGACTCACCTCTAGGAAACTTGTTGAGTTCTACATCCAAGAAATCAGCAAACTAAACCCTGTCCTTAGAGGAGTTATAGAGGTGAACCCTGATGCATTGTACCAAGCTGATGTGGCTGACAAAGAGCGGAGGGCTAGAGCTCGTGGTTCGTTGTCCTGCTTACATGGTATTCCCATTCTGTTGAAGGATAACATTGCAACAAAGGACAAGCTGAACACCACTGCTGGTTCGATTGCATTGCTTGGCTCTGTAGTGCCCAGAGATGCAGGGGTGGTGAAGAAATTGAGGAAAGCTGGGGCAATCATTCTGGGGAAGGCTAGCATGAGCGAATGGGCTGGTTTCAGGTCGACGACGGCCCCCAACGGCTGGAGTGCCAGAGGAGGCCAGGGGAAGGTGAATATGTTCTTCTGATTATATTCTATTGTTCTGTTTTGGAGGCCAGAAACAAAGATTATATTTTATTGAATGAATAATGCATGAGTTGTGATTGGATATGTTTTACATTTGGTGCAGAATCCCTATGTTTTAACAGCAGATCCCTGTGGGTCAAGTAGTGGATCAGCAATATCTGTGGCTTCAAATATAGTGGCAGTGTCACTAGGGACTGAGACTGATGGCTCCATCCTGTGTCCAGCCAGTGCTAACTCAGTGGTGGGCATCAAACCAACAGTTGGTCTCACCAGCCGTGCTGGGGTCATCCCAGTCTCTCATAGACAGGACACAATTGGGTAAGTTCCATCTATTCCTGAGAAGACCCTGAAATTAACTGTAATTTAACCTTAAGATTCCTGTTTCATGTCTGCTCACCAAGTGTTTGATAAAGTTCTTGAATGAGTTGTTTTATTTTCTTTGCATTCAAGCTTCTTCCTATATCTTCTAATTAAGCCCGCTTCTTGGATCCTACAGGCCTATCTGCAGGACGGTATCGGATGCTGTTTATGTTCTTGATGCTATTGCAGGCTTGGATTACAATGATAAAGCAACCAGGAAAGCGTCACGCCACATTCCATACGGTGGCTACAGACAATTCCTCAAACCCCATTGGCTGAAAGGAAAGAGATTGGGAATAGTTAGAAACCCTTTCTTTGATTTTTCCAATGGATCTGCCTTGACTCAGGCTTTTGAATCCCATTTCAACACACTAAGGTAACACACATATTCAAACTATGCTAAATTTCAAATTGGTTCGGCAAATTGTTTGTTTTTTTTACCCTTTTATTTGGATTTTTTTGCAATTTTGGGGACCAGGTTGCGTTTTGGTAGATAATCTGGAAATAGCCAATGTTGATGTTATCTTAGACTTTACCGCGAGTGGTGAAGCCATAGCATTGTTAGCTGAGTTCAAATTGTCCTTGGATGCATACCTTAAAGAGCTTGTGTCTTCCCCAGTGCGATCATTGGCAGATGTTATAGCTTTCAACCAAAACTTCTCTGATTTGGTGAGAGTGTAGATCATAAAGAGCTTTTCCAGATTCAGCCAACATGATTAAAGATCATACTCAAAGGTGTTCTATTTGATTTTTGTCTTTCGGGAAATGATCAAGGAATTTCCCCAGGATATCTTTCTTGCAGCCGAGGCAACAGTTGGGATTGGTGATGTACAGAAGGTCGCATTGGAAAGTTTAGCAAATCTTTCAAAGAATGGATTCGAGAAGTTGATGAAGGAGAACAAACTGGATGCCATGGTAACTCCTATTGCAGATGCTGTTCCTGTGCTTGCAATTGGTGGATTCCCAGGAATCAGTGTGCCGGGTGGATATGATAATGAAGGGGTTCCTTTTGGCATTTGTTTTGGAGGACTGAAGGGCAGAGAGCCAAAGCTTATTGAAATTGCTTATGGTTTTGAGCATGCTACTAGGATTAGGAAGCCTCCATCAGTCAACCCTGGAAAATCTAAAGAAAGTGCTTAAGGAATCACACTTCCTCAAGTGAAAACTGTTTCAATATTTCCTTCCAAAAAGTATGAAAGGTGTCATTTATGCTTTTACCATATATTGTTATGTGCATCTACATGTCGCCGTGAAACATTGATTCATTGTCTTTGTAAGTTATTTCATTTTAGAATTTGAATAATGGAAGGTGTTTTCCACGTTGTGTTATCCAATTGTTAAACCAATGAAAAAGAAAGCCAAAAAAACAAAAGTAGACAGGCTAAATACGTGGAGGTCGGAAGAACCATGGAATCTGTAAAAGGACTAAAGATATCCCACCAACTACTAAAGAAAGAAATGATTTTACACGACATGTCCTTTGTTTTCAATTATTTCCTTGGCTACAGTCGATAAAGTTGAAAATGTGAAGAATGTTGCCAATTAAAATGAATAGTCTTAACAAATTTAACTGTGACAATAACCTTAAATAGTGTTAAATACTCAAATAAAGTTCTTTCCTATCAAATTTACATTTTTTTAAATTAAAAACAGAATTATTTTTTATTATATAATTTCAACAGTAAGATTTAGACCCAAATTTTAAGTACAAAACACCACTGCAGAGACGGAAAAATTTTTTGTTAAGAAATGCAGAAGAAAAGGTTATGCATACTCAATGCCTTCTCTTTGGTCCCTACCATGAAGCATCAAAAGAAAAATCGTTGTTCATCATGTCTGCTAGTGCTTTCTACAGTATGGGTGCCCTTAATTGAAAGATATTTTCTTTATTTTTTTTTTTAATACTGGGAAATTGAGGGAAGGAGGATGATATTACAAAGAATTGAATCATGACAAAATTCATGGCCAAGGTGCATCCTATCAATGCAGTTACAATTACGGGTGCTGAAGATATTTTCTTTGCTTGAAAGGCTGAAAAATAATGGAAGAATAATCATCTGCTAAAAAATCCTAGATGAGGACAGGCATTGGTCAACACAGCCAATGAATTATGCAAAGAACAAGAAATT